AGCTTTTATGCCTAACATGGGACTAGAACTCACAGTCTCCTGGTTTCTAGCCAGGTGCCTTCACCACTAGACCAAACTGCCTCTCCCAGTTTGTGTTTCCTGAAGAAACTTTCTTCCTGGCAACAGCCCCAGCCAGCACTATTTGAACCCAATGAATTACTGTAAGCATATGCTTCTCCTTGATCGATGGTCACAGGTTGATAAACAACAGAAAGAAATGAAGCGTGATTTTCTTATCTTTACATATGTTCAGACATTCCTGGCGAGAGAAAAAGAAGCAGAATTCCTTCCCTTTCAAACAAGGGTGAAGATTCACAGCTTAATCAGTTCAGGGACAGATGCAATACTGAGACAGGCATGAGAGAATCATCACATCATCACTTCACGGAGTCTCGTGATTGTCTTATAAATGCCACAGCTTAGTGGGGTGACAAAATGTTGGGCAATTCCCAGTGGTGCACCTGCCATCTTCTAAATTTTGCCACCCCACCCACCCCACCCCCATAGATGACCATGACTGACCTCCAGCTGCCTGCCATTCTCTCCTGCAAGAGAATAAAATGTACACGGGCTCTTTATTTCATTTATTTATTTTATAAATCTCGTGGCCCACCACAATTACACAAAGACTCCTGGCAGCCAACCAAGAGGAAATAACATCCATAATAAAACTTACGCAATCCGACACAATACCTGGCATCAACCCCCAAGCTGGAAATATACAGAAAGGAGATAAAATATCTTCCACAGGTCATTTTGGAAGGGTTGGCTCCTCATTTGGAAGATTTGATCTCTCTGATCTCATGAAAACGGGGGACAGCCAGCTGCTTCTCTCTGCATGATTGAAAAGATTGAGCCAGATCTTGTGAAGAGATGCCTTCCTGCAGGTTGACTGGTGCCAGGGCATAAAACGTTTTATAGATAAAGACTAAATTGCATTGGGAAGCTAATGGGAAGCTAATGCAAGGCCCACAAAATGGTGCAAGACTGCATGCATGTCCGGGCAAACACCGGGTGGAAACTAATCAAGGAGAGAAGCAACCTAGAACTAAGGAGAAATTTTC